GAGATGATGTTAAGAAACCACATATGCAGATCTAAGATCTTGGTAACCTTTGATACTGTGACTTACATCACTGAATAAAGGATAGTGGACATAAGTTACTCCCCATAGAACGTATACCTACATTTTTCCCCCATGCAGTGCCTTCCTACTAAGTGTATTGCTTGCTCACTTATGTTCCTGCACTGATCTTGAGACCCCATGTACATTTGTTTGTTCCTTCAGCCATATCCATACTGCCCTGTGTGCTCTTTTACTACTCTTGGAATATTTTATTGGATCTTCAACACTTTTTGAGTATGAAAAGGAAAACTTATTTGCAAACTGACAAGTAGATAAATATTTAATTATAATGATCATATTCCTCATCTGTCTCAAACTAAACTGTCTATAGTAGATGTCTGTTCATCTTAGTCCATTGTTGCTTTGTTTATGGCTCTTTCTTTTTATTTTTTGGTTTATTTGTTTCCTTTTCTATTTCCATACTAGGAAATAATCTTCATATGATCAAAATCTAAGCCTATTTTGGTCAGGACCTACTGTAAGAGCACAAAATGGGCATACAAGTAAGTATTTAAAAATGTTTACTGAATGAATTGATGAATAGTAAGACAATGTTCAGACTTTCTATCTTAGCTTACAGTTCAAAACTTGACATATAGAGGGTGCTGAATTCTTTTAATTGAAAAATAAACTATAATATATATACATGACTAATATTCATGAATAAAAATTTAATTTTTGCAAAGGTATGAAAACTAGAAACTTTGGCTTCACTTACTATTTGGTCAGTAATTATTGGTAGAGTTCACATAAACCTAACTAAGAGGCAAACCTTTCCCAGGGTCCGTTTTAACAGAGATTATATCACATTTGTGTCTTAAATACATTTTATAGATGAATAAATGAGTGAACAAAGGAACATTCAATTCTGAAAATTAATATTATCCATAGGAAAGAAATTTAGTATAAGGTCATAAAGTAATTTCCACTACACTGCATAGAACAAAAGCACAGGACATTTTTCTACACTAAGCATTGTTTTCTAAATGGCTTTCTCTCTCTTGTCTACTCATGAAGAAAAAGAACCAATAACACTTTGTTTCTGTGTGTTTTTGGTACCTGTGAATAATGCCTATGTTCTATGCTCAGAGCTAAGACACAGACAGGAAGAGATACTGGCAGAAAGAGAGTAAAGAACCATAAAGAAAGCAAGGGAAAAAAATTCAGAAAGGAAATAAGAGATGTCAGGTAATGAGAGCAAGAAAACAAATGGAGGAAAAGGACGAAATAATAATGGAATTTTTGTAATGCTTTCCTGTCTATTGTAGAGATTCTCTGTTCTGTTCAACGTATGCATTATCTCTCAATCTTATTATTCCTATTGTGTAAATGAGCAGACTAGAGCTCAGAAAGATCAATAATGGACTTGTCTAGCCACACACTGTTCCAAAGAGAGGCCAGGATCTGCCCTTAGGAGTGTGGTTCAAAGCCATGGTACGTTCATCTGGTGAAGAATGATTGACATATACCAGCAGCTTATCTCCCCTAGGGCATTTGTATTACAGATTGCCAATCACCCACTCCAGTTAGAATATTTAGATATCTCCACTTACTCTATCTTTATTTATCTGTTATTACACACACACAGCCAGAAAAAGAAACAAATGAAAATTCTTGTGTACACGTTGACCAAAATCTTCTGGAATAAATACTTAAGAGAACAGAGGCATAATAGATGACAAATGGGGCCACATTCCCAAGTGCCATCATTTTAGAAGTAAAGCAAAACCTCTCACTCTAGCCTCACCTCCCACATATAGTGAATAAACAAAGAAATACAGACCAAAAAAGCAACAGGAAAATAACAACAACAACAAAAAAGTTGAGAAGCCATGAAAATACTTTCTGAATGTCCATTCCCCAAAGGGTTGAGGTCAGGCATATGGTTCTATTCACTAAACCTTAGACAAAGGACTCAATGCCCTGATCATTATTGTTGCTTAAATTAAAGCACAATCAAAAAAGTGTAATGGAATATTAATTTCAGTTACTGCAGCTAATTGAAAACATAGCAAGAGCTGTGACTATGGAAAATGGAGCGAGAACACTCAGATGCACGTCCAAGTTGGGCGGTAGCATATTTTCAAGAAATGGCCATGATCTCTAGAGTTGGCTTGGGACAAAAAGGCAAAATAACTTTTAGATATTGATGGATCTAAAAAATGCAAATTTAATTGGAAAACGGTTGTTTTTTTTATTCACATCAATAAATCACAGAAGTATATAATCTCTGTTAAGTCAAGAGCTAAAGTTTCTTCTTTTTTTTTCTTTTTTTGTGCCAGTCCTAGGGTTTAAACTCAGCCTGGACCCCATTTCTGAGCTTCTTTTTGCTTAAGGCTAGCACGCTATCACTTGAGCCACAGTATCACTTCTGGCTCTCTCTGAGTCTTTTTCCTGCCTGGGCTGGCTTCAACCTACAATCCTCAGATCTCAGCCTCCTGAGTAGCTAGGATTACAGGTTTGAGCCATTGGTACCAGTCTAAAGACTTGAATCTTGTCTTTAAAGCCCAGATCCTAGCTTTAAGAAAACATTCCTCAATAATAGTTGAATGAATGAGAGAGTTAGTGCTGAAGACCTTTGGTTACTCTAATAAATAAGAATGCTTTCTGTCCTGTACAACTGGCCCATTGTCAGTGAAAGTGAAGATCAGCAAGATTTAGGAGGGATGAAAAGATCTACTTTGGCTTGGTTCATAAGTCTGAGAGAGCAAAATATATACAGGGTATTTTTTTCTGTTTTGTTCATTGCTATATACTGAGCATCTAGAACAGTACTTGACACATATTGGGTATTCAATAAATGATTTTATTTTTGGTGCCAGTACTGTGGCTTGAAGTTAAGGCCTTACATTTTCATTTGGCTTTTTTGCCTAAACTAACAGTCTACTACTTGATCCTTACTCCACTTCCACAGTTTTGCTAGTTAATTGGAGGTAAGAGTCTCTCAAATTTGTTTACCTAGGCTGGCTTTGAACAGGGATCCTCAGATCTCAGCTTCCTGAATAACTAGGATTATAAGCATAAGCCATTAATGCCTAGTTTTCAAGAAATGTTTGTTGAATCAAGGAATAAATGGTTAATATGGAGTTGAAAAGAGAATGAGTATGACAAAGGAGACAAAATAACTCAGAACTTTACAGTGCAAAAAACTTTTCTCTAGCACCAGGTATACTCTTCTTTAAGAAAATAAAAGATTCTTTTCCTCAAATTAGTTTACTCTGCCTGTTGGATTAACACTAGGGACTATGGTAATGCTTTCAAAGGCAACTCAGGAAAAGTTGCTTTAGAATAATAAAGATGCATGAGGACATGTTAAGGTGATAAAGATCAATATGCCTTTAAAGAAAATTTGTGTTAAATTTTTGGACTTTTTCCTCTCTCCCTCTATTTCCTGTTTCTACCTGTTGATTCTTTTTTTTTCTTTTTTTAAGAAGAGGCTTATTCTACTTACTTTTCTTCTAGAAATGATACTTTACTGATTATCAAAGGCCATGTTTAAGTAGCACGGGGCCACTTCCTGTGATGAAGGTCCTCAGCCTGTGTCTGAATGCCATCGTTCACAGCATAATGCAGGGAGACGCTGGCAAAAAACAAGCTGGATGCACTTTAGCAGGACTAATTTGTATGGGGTTAAAAGACATGTCATCAATATTCAATAGTTACCCTATATGGCATTTGATTTTTTTCTGTGTGAAGTGACTGTGTGTGGTATCCTGTGTGTCTGGGTGGTATTTTTTTTTCTTTTTGGCCTTTTCAAACAAGTATGTATATGCTGTTTGTTGTCTTCTCCTTTTGTTATGCACTTATGCATCAATTTACGGGGGCGGGGAGTAAGACTGTTGAAACAACATTTATTTTCATTTGGGGATGTATGCCAGTCTCTAAATTCATTTTGAATTCAGTTCCAAGTGATGGAAAGTTGGTGAAATTTTGCATGGAGCCACAAATTTGAAAAATGGTCACAAACTTTACTATCCCTTTATTGTTTCATGATCATACATGGGAGACAGTTGTATACTTCTTGAAAACATCTCTTTGAATTGAATTCCCAGAACCCTGGTGTAGTTGGAGGCAACCATTTTTCAGAGTAAGGAAATTTTCAATGGGCTTTTGCATTTTGTTCTCCACACCTCCCCCAACCGCCCCCCCCCCCAACAACTGTATGAATATGATTTTTTTCCATCACTGGGTGAAGCTCTCGGGTGTGAGTGCCCACAATGGGGCTCTCTTTAGCAACCAGGAGGAGGGGGCAAGTCACAAGGGCAAGCAAGAAAGCCAACGGGAACATAGTTGATGAATGCAGAACTGACAGTAGACTTTTTGACAGGAAAAAGTTGACCATGCAAGTTAAAGCTGGCCCCAGGCACCAATAACTTACTGAAGTGACATTTATTTGGCTGTAACCTAAGGTCTTGCTGAACTTGCTAGTACAACAGAGGTAATCTTTCTGGAAGAATGAATTACAATAGCGGTTTACAGTAACTTTATTTGATCTTTCCATTAGTTAGAATGACCATAAGTTCCCTTGGTACTCTAAGTTTCAACTTTCTGCTGTAACTTTGAAACTGTAATGGGAATTCTTCATCTCTCAAAAGATTTTTTTTCTCAGTATGTTTACAATATGTCTTACCCACAGTAGAGCAGATGATAAATGATAAATGTAACTGAGGTGAAAGTAAAGTAAAGCACCTTGCTGAAGGTCATACAGCAATGTGATCTGCGTCGACTTCCATGTGAGTAGCCTGAGCAGTAATTAAGCATGGTAAAGCTAGGCAACGGAGGCTCATGCTTGTAATCATAGCTACTTAGCAGACTCAGATCTGAGGATCCTAGTTTGAAGCCATCCTGGGCAGAGAAGTCTGTGAGATTCTTATCTTCAATTAATCAGCAAAAACCTGGAACTGGAGCTGTGGTTCAAGTGGTAGAATGCCAGCCTTGAGCAAAAATGTTAAGTGAGAGCCCAAGGACCAGAATTCAAGTCCCAGTATCAGCATGTGCACACATAAAAAGCCTAATAAGATTAAGAAAGCCCAAATTAGGAAAGTATATATATATATAATATTATATATAATATATATGTTATATATAATATTATATATAATATATGTAATATATATGTTATATATATATATGTTATATATATATATATCCTTGTCAGTTGTGGGGCTTGAACTCTGGGCCTGGGTACTGTCCCTCAGCTCTTCAGTTCAAGGCAAGAGCTCTACTACTTGAGCAACAGTGCCACTTCTGGTTTTCTGGTAGTTAATTGGAGATAAAAGTCTCACAGATTTTCCTGCCTGGGATGCACTTGAACCACAATCCTCAGATCCCAGCCTCCTGAGTAGCTAGGATTACAGGCATGAGCTACCAGTACCAGTGCCTGGCTTGGAAAAGAATTTTAAGAAGGATTTTAATGCATGCGTGTCATGAGAATAAGAACATTGAATTTTTTTGTAAAAAATTCACTTTTATCTTGTTTTATTCCCTTGAGAATGATATTAGTGGACATTGAATCATTTTATAGCTGAAAGGTTAAACTTTATTTACAATATGCTAATCCTCAATATTTTCTTAGAACAGAGCAGTCTTTCCTTTTTTTTTTTTTTTTTTGCTGGTCATGGGAACTGAACTTTGGGTGCTGTCCTTCAGCTCTTCAGCTCAAGGCTAGTACCCTACCACTCGAGCCACAGCACCACTTCCAGCTTTTTCTGCTTATGTGGTGCTGAGGAATCGAACCCATGGCATCATGCATACAAGGCAAGCATTCTAGCACTGAGCCACCTTCCCAGCCCCAGAGCAGTCTTTTAAGGAGAGGGATGAAGATTTAGCTTAAGATATAATGGAGGGCTGGGAAGATGGCTCAGTGGTAGAGCGTTTGCCTTGCATGCATGAGGCCCTGGGTTTGATTCCTCAGCACCACATAAGCAAAAAGAAAAAAGCTGGAAGTGGCGCTGTGGCTCAAGTGGTAGAGCGCTAGCCTTGAGCTGAAGAGCTGAGGGACAGCACCCAGGCCCAGAGTTCAGGTCCCACAACCGGACCCCCCCCCAAAAAAAAGATATAATGGAACGTGGAACATTTTATCTTCCAAGACACAAGTACTTCTCTTTGCACAACTTCCAAATTCTAAACAACTTTTATTCTGGGTTGGCAAATATGGCCACTGCACCAGGATAAATAGCTGTGTCATCTGCCAGCTACAATGAAGGTATCTGGTATGATGGTGAGCTGAGGATCCTGTGTTTCATCTGCCTTCTATTTCTGGTGCATTCTTACAATGTTGCAGTTCTAATTTAGGATCTCTTAAAGTAGGAAGAGAGAAGGGAGAAGTAGGGCTGGAACTATGTGGACAGTTAGTCAGGGAGACCTGGAGGCTTCTTTCATTACTCATCATTTTCATCCCTTAACATACCAATAGAACTAATCATGAAAAAGAAGCAATCCATCTATTTTCTATGCTGCTCATTCATTGTGTCTTCCTCTGTTTTCCTCTTCACCTTGAGACTTACATCAGTCACTTTCTTCCCTTGGCCTGACTTCTCCCTCCATTTTGCTTCTGAAACCATTCTCACCGAGTCTCATCATGACACAACTGCAAACCCAAGTGGACCTTGTTTAAGTTCTCATCTTAGGTTTCATGCTATTGATCTCCTTATTCTTGTTGTGAGCGTGTATATGTGCTTCCATATACTCTAGAACTACTCAGAGCCTCGCACACTTGCTTAACTTTTTTGCTCAGGAATGGTGCTCTACTATTTGAGCCACACCTCCACTTCCAGCTTCTTGCTAGTTAACTGGAGATAAGACACTCATGGATTTGTCTGCCCAGGTAGGCTTTGAACTTGCATGCTCAGATCTCAGCCTTCTGAGTAGTTAGGATCTGTAGACACAAGCCACCAGTGCCTTGTTCCTCCTATTCTTAAAGTTTTTGGTTTCCATTATTCCTTCTGGACTTGCTGCCATCCTTATTTTATGACTTTCTCTTCCTTTCCATGTTTGTGTTCTCCAGTTGTCTCTGATCCTTTTGCTTTTGCTATTCATCCTCCATTGTCTTCAGTGCTTTATCAGAGCTCTGTATCCATAATTTGTAATTGTCTTATGGAAACATTTTATGTTTGATTGTAGATACCATAAGTTTTGCTGAATTTCACTTGATAGGCTGAATTACACTAGATAAGCTGAATTCATCGTTTCTCCTTCAAAACCAGTTTTCCCATTATATTCCTGGTTCTACTTAATATTTCAATGTTATGATTTGAATATAAAGGAGTCCCCAAAAAGTTAACCTGTTGAAGGCTTGGTCTCCAGCTGCTGACACTATCAACAGGTGATGTGATCATGAGAGCACTAACTTCATCAATGAGCTGTTCCATTGATGAGTTCATACCACAGGGCTATTAAGTGGTGAGGCTCTGGTTGCAGGAAGTAGGTCATGGAGGGCATGTGTTTGAAGGGTGCATATTGTCTCTTGCCTTTTTAGTCTCTCTGCTTCCTTGTTGCTGAGAGGTGAACATGTCCTTCTACCATGATTTTTTGCCTTGGAATAGGCCTAACAGGAATGGAACCAGAATTGTTACTGTTATCTATAGAATAACAATTTAAAATAGTACTATGCTTATTGTGTGCCAGATGCTATTATCCTTGCTTTGCATATACCAGCTTATTTAATTCTCATTATAATTATATAATTATAATCTCATTGTGAGATGGGCTGCAATTGCTATTATACTTTCTCTTCCATTTTGTAGCTAGAGAAATAGAGGAATTTAAAGGGTAAATTATTTGCCCTGTGAGGGCCCAGTCAGTATGAGTTCAGAGTCCATGCTCTTAGTTGGCCTTTATTGTAAGGACTGCATTCAAGGTCCTGACTAATTTGATCCCTGGTGACCACATTGCTTCATTTCAACCTACCATAAACCTGCTTTCCCTAGATCATTTGTTGTAATCACCAACAGCTCATCAAACTCTTTTTATTTTTGCACATACTATTCCAGGAAAATAGATGTTCCCTTCTTATATGCACACATACATTTTACTTGGTTGATAAACTCCTATTATCTTTAAGAATTTAGCTAACGTTTCACTTTCTTTGAGGTTACTCTGTTCACCTTCAACTCTCAGGCACACTTCTCTATCAGAACTCTCTAACATGGTGTACTTAATTGTCATGTTTGCAACATTCAAAATGATATCTTGCATGCATAATTGACCACCAAGTTATAATTACTAAGTAGAGGAGTATTAAAAATGACAGTGAATATCCTTAATTTGGGTTGAGAAAATTTCAGTTTTCTGAACATTTAGAACAAGACAATGATAGGATCAGAACTGATGCCCATTGGGGATTAATCTAGCTGCAGGATAAAATGTTGATGGGGCTTAAAATAACTCAGATGATGTAATAAGGGTTTGATGTATGGTGACTGCAGTGGGAAGACAGAGGAGGAGTGACTTAAAAGAGACTGTTCCAGCTGAATCCACCAGATCCTTGTTACTCATTCATTCCATTCTATAGGGCTCTGTCCTTGTTCCAAAATGTCAGTAATGAGCAAAACACAATTTCCATCCTCAAGGAGGTTCAAGTCTAGAGAAGAAAGACACAATGAATAGGTAGACAATGAAAGAACTTATTAGTTACAAAAATTGTTATGGGGAAAATATAAACAGGCTGATGTAACGGAATTTTTGGACCATCTAATAAGGTAATATATTAGCTAGGTGATAAAAAGTCACCCATGAATGCTCTATTTGTAGAGAGTTCCAGGAGGAAATAAGCACAAAAGTCCTGGGAGAAAAACAAATATATTAGGTTTGAGAAGCAAAAACAGGCCAGTGTAGTTAAATAATGGTGAAGCAGGAAAGGTGTAGAGGAGTATAAAGTCAGAGGTTACACAGTGAGATCTACACCTTGGAAAGGAGCTTGAATTGTCTTCTATGCAAGATGGTAATTTATTGGTCATGGAGAAAGATGAAATACTCACAACTCTGTGACATTGAATGTAATCACTCAAGTGAGGAAGTCGAGAAGAAATTAGTTTGATGAGGAAAGAGGGTATTAGTTTGAGGAATTAGTTGATGATTCTATGTCAGAAATATATGTTTAGTCTCTTAAAGATGTAAATAGATGGGCTGGGATGTAGTCAGTGGCAAAGCACTTGCCTAGCAAGTGCAACATCCTGGGTTCGATCCCCAGTACCAAAAAAGAAAAAAAGACAAAAAAAAAGATGTAAATAGATGCAGGCAAAGACAAAGCTTTGAGGAAGCAGAAGTAGTGGCAGAAAGAGCTAGGAAAGCTGGCTGTGTTCTCACACACAGAGATAGAGTCTGCTATGGTTTGAATGTATCCCCAGTGTTCATCTGTTGGGAGTTCAATCCTGAGGTAGCAATGTTGAGAAGTGGGGCCTTTGAGAGGTGTTTGGGGCATCAGACTACCACCTTCCTAAATAGATGATCAATGTCATTATCTCAGGATTGGGGTCCAAAAGTAAAACGCTGAGATAATTGCTCTCTGACTCTGTTACTGTTTCTGTCTTTCATGCAACCAAACACAGACACACACAGACGCACACAGACACAGACACACAGACACAGACACACAGACACAGACACAGACACACACACACACACACACACACACACACACACACACACACACATTGTGCCCTTCTTCTTTCTACCATGGGATGATACAAGTTCTTGCCAGAAGTAGGTTGATTCATCTCAGGCTTCCCAGTATCCAGAAGTATAAGACATAAATATCCATTTTTTTAATATTATTCAACCTCAGTGTACTGTTACAGTAGGAAAAAGAAAAGCAGACTGAGACAAGGCCATTGGTAGAAGAGATAGAAAATATGACTAGAAGGGATAGTGGATTTGGCATCAAGGCTAGCTGGGGTCAGGTAACAGCACATGGACCTTAAAGAAAGGGGAACTGCCAAGCTGTGGCTAACTGATCAAGAGCAGGATAGGTAGACCTGTGGAACTTAAGCTAGCTGTAGTGTAGCATCTAGCTAGACAGCCTAAGGCCTAGGTCCAGTTGGTCAAGCACCAGAACAAAAAGTTTATATTGACCAACCTGCCTCTGAAGGTCAGAGAGTCAGCTCTCCCGTATGAGGTTATGTTGAAGGAAGTCCAGGGGTGATTCTCAAGGATGAAGAGTGTTTAACATAGCCACTGTGGCCCCCTGTGAAATTAGTCAACAAGGGATGTGTAAAACTAATCTAAGGATCAGTGAGAGCTCAGCTGAGGTTGGAAAGCATTGCTTTATGGTGGCCCAGTTTCCATGGTTTCTTTTCTTATGCAGTTTGGGAGAGAGCAGAGAAAACCAATTATTATCTACAATAAGTCTAGGGTAAGAAATAGTAGCTTGATGTTAGAGGCTACTATAGATTTTTTTCCCCTAGTACTACAATATTATTTGGAATTTTCTGAGGTTGAAAAAAAAAAAGAGGAACATGTAGGTCAGAATAACATTTGTTATTCCCTATATTTAAAAAATAGATGATTCAGCTCAATCTTGAAAGTCTACAATAAGCAAAATCGAGGTTTTACATTAACAAGGCTATAAAGGTTAATATTTGACTCTGATTTTAAAAGAAATTTGAAAATGATGGACCACATGTTATAATGGTTTGCGTTTTTAATCTAGCAGGCATGTACAAATGAGACCAGGAATGTACAAATCAGTAGTAATGGTATAACACAAATTTCAAAATTTTTTGAGTGACACACGAACCGTGTGAAGTTTCCCACTGACTGATATTTTAATGTCACCCCCCCCCCCCCAAAGCCTATAATTAAAGCTATTTTGGCATTTTCATCTCAAATCCCTGCTTTTGGAGGGTAGGCGGGTTATAATTCCACTTTCAAAATGAGCTTCCAGATAAAATTTGACATAAAATACAAAGTCTTATCCTGGCAACAGTTTCCCCTCCACCCTTCCAGCATGAAATAAAGTAATACATGGCCCATGGTTCTAAAGATACTTTTAAAAAATGGAATCGAATCCATTCTGTTTGTTTGGATCTCTTGGCCAGAATGTACACATGGACTCTAAAGTATGGGTATAGTGCAACCCACACAAACATCCGAGGCCATTATAACATGAAAAGACAGTTCTCGAGAAAGGTAGTAGTCCATTTCTTATGCTTTGCTTCTTGTAAAAGCATTAAGAGGAACTGGTAACTAATTCATTTTTTTTCTTTAAGAGAAACAATACATGCCCCATAATTACTCCTGGGAAAGGAATCCAGGCTTGTAGCTTCGCATGTTGAATAGTGTAGGAGGGAGGTAGAGTCCTCACATCAAAACCAAGAACAAGCAAGCAAAAAGTCAACGGAAGCTGGTAGATAAGCAAGTATTTCTCTCTTTGTATGCTGTCTTTTTCTTTTAATCTTTTGAGTACACGAATTTCACATGCAATCCTCATGGATTCCTCTCCTGCTCATTCATTATGTTTAGTACGAGTGTATCATCCATGTGTCCACGAGATACTGGGAAGAATCTTTCTGCCCACGACTTACCCCTAGTTCAATAGACTGATCATATAGAAGGAGGGACTTCTGGAACAGGAAGCTGCATTCTCCCCTGGTATTCATAATGTGAAGGGCAAGTATCTGGGAAGGAAAGAAAAAGAACTTATGCTGAGGTGGGGGTGTCATAGAAAGGTCATTCAATTCTCGCAGGAAGGTCATAGGGCCAGTAGGAGGAGTCAGGGACTAGAAGAATGGAAGAATGCCACCCTTGAAGTTCATTTTAGGCACATCACTGATAGGGGGGAAACATCATTTTAATCTTTTTTGTAGAATCAGTTTTAGGAAACATCTCCCCAGACATGCTGTAGCCATGGATGAAAGAAAGAAGGTTGGGATGGGAGATGGTGCAAAGTAACAGTGCCCATCATTTATTTCCTTCTGATTAAGTACTATCACACACAGAAACATCATTTCTAGCACTCTGGGTCATTTTAAGTCTTGAGGGCTTTCTTTTTTCTTGCAGAAGAACATTATTGTTATCCACCTCTCTCTCCTCTCTTCTTCCTATATGTATGGACAATTTCATTTCCTCAGAAATAACAATGCTCAAACCCTAAATGTGTCCAGAGGTTTTATAGCCCCTTCCTCAAAATCTCTGATATCACCATACCATGTACATATGAAGGAAAGCAGCACCTTTGTCAGGCACTACCAGAGAGTTAAATGCAGTGTTCTTTCATGGAGTTCTTGATAAACCTTTACAGCAAATTAGAGGTTTCTTCTTTCCCCAGTCAGCTGGCTATAAGATGTTGTGAGAGATTCCCCCCCCCCCCCCATTTCACACAAAGCTGTTAAGAATTTGTAGCGATGTATTTTTAATACTGTCAATAAACAGCTTCCTCAGGACTCAGAGGGGCAATAATAGAAGCTGTTAACAAAGTGTGAAAAGCAACAGGCTAGCAAAGGGTAATCACATGGCCGCCCACTAATGACCCCTACAGCCCTAGTTTAAACCCAACAGCACTTGTAAAGACCAATCACGTGAACTATTTCCTGTCTGAGGTAGCCTTTATGGTACAGAATAAAAGCAGAGCTGATTGTGAATAGAAAGCCCCCCGGCAGGGGAGGTGGTTATTATTTTTAAGCTGATCTAAACACCTGGGTTTCCCACTGGACCCTATTAAACTTTCTCTATTATGTCTAAATATTTCAATCATTTTTGCAGCAGTTGTGACTTAGTGCATTACGAAGGTAGGCGAGAACTCTGGAGAAGAGGCAGTTGACAAGTAGAAAAGACCCCTTTGCTCAAGGTGACAGCAGTCAGGTAAAGGGGCTCCCAGCCTTGGGAAGGGATTTGGAGGGGTCAGGTCCCTCCCACGGTAGCGCTCTGACCCCACCCTGCCTCCAGGAAGACCACACGGAAAGCCATTCAGACCAAGAAATTTTTACTATTTTAAAGGCTTCTAGACGAGGGAATTCCATAGTGTACCCTGGTAACCCATTTCATTGTTTAACAGCTTCACAACCAGCCAACAGTTTTCCCATATAAAGAACTGAAGCAATTTCTGCCGTGGTTTAGACCCATTCTCCCTGCCCTGTCTTTGGGTGGCTGGATTTTGCTGATCATTCTGCATTTTATGATACACTTGGTTAAACATTACTCCTCTCCCAATAAAATTGCTCAAGTCTTTGAAGATTTTTGCTTTCCACCTCCAACTTGCAGACCTGAACATATTTCATTGAGGAGCATTGACTCAGGCTCTTATCTAGAAACAATGACATTTTTAGGTTCATGGCAAGGACAGGGTTTAAAAACAGTAATAGGGCCTCCAAATTCCAATTTGGTAGCTAGAGTTTGGGTGGTCCTTTGGCAAGTACACTTGCTCCATCTGTACTTGGTGCCTTTTCTCTGCTTGGTTGCCTCACACCACTGAATTACTTTTTCTAAATTGTGTTATAAGACTCCATAAAGGGCAACAAATAGCAGAGCAGAGAGATAAATATTCAATATGGGTATGGGGTCAGATTTGTGTTTAACTTCTGTATCTGTTACTTGCTGTGAGAAAGTAGAAATGTTACCAGCCACACTAAGCTCCGTTTTATAAAAGTGCTACCCACTTCCTTAAGTTTCTGTAAGGGAGGATGTAACAATTTACAAATATAGTTCTTGACATACAGTAGGCATCCTGTATGTGATGGTTTTTGTTATATGCCTTCGTTATTAGCAATCCTCAATTGAGCACAGTGAGTTACCTTAGGCTAAATACCCCTGGAGGTATTTAGATTTAGCATATTGAGGATCATTTCATTCCAGGTAAAAGACATCATTCAAACTTCCTATTTCACCTGGTTAACCAGCAGCTATGGCTGACAAAGTAGCTTGGCCCAATCAGTGCCCAGGAACTCTGTGAGCCAGTCACCAGGGCAGTCTTGATCTTTCTTCTCTGCCTGTCTCCAAGATCTTGTTTTTATTTTCTCATTCCAACATCAATCTGTCTTGAAACAGGATATGTACTGCTCTTAAGAGTCATGTCTTTCAGCTTTACTATTGGTGAAGGGGTTGACCCCCTCTCACTCCAGTTAGAAAGTTATGAGGAAGATGGCCCATGCCTATAATCCTAGCTACTCAGAAGGTTGAACTCTGAGGATCTTGGTTTAAAGCCAGCCTGGGCAGAAAAGCTCATGAGACTCTGTCTCCAAAAACCAGAAGTAGAAGTATGGCTCAAG